CAGCAATCATAAAAATAGTTAACTCACAATTATAGATTTATCGGTTGCTTATATATAGTCACTTACTGAAATACAACAGACATGTACTTTTATGGATTATGGTAGAGACATGATATTTCGTAAGCAGCAATCATAAAAATAGTTAACTCACAATTATAGATTTATCGGTTGCTTATATATAGTCACTTACTGAAATACAACAGACATGTACTTTTATGGATTATGGTAGAGACATGATATTTCGTAAGCAGCAATCATAAAAATAGTTAACTCACAATTATAGATTTATCGGTTGCTTATATATAGTCACTTTTTTTCTAAAGGATAACTTCATTCTTAAAACGCTCCTTTACCAGTAGTTAAAAAAAACGGATCTATGAGATTAATAAACAATCGTGTTTTATCAACATCATTCAATAATGTAGCTTTTTAGAGTTTTTGTGTTTGTTTTAACTACGGACCCGTTAATTTAGTTATATTCATTATCGTATAAATTTCACACAATCGTTTTTTTTCTTCTTCCTGTATTTACTGGCCACTGAGTTATGATATGTCATAAATCTAAATAGATGTTTAACAACAATCGGTATTGCTCTCGGCTATGTTGTATTGCCATCACTGTGGGCAAATTATCACTTGTTTTAAACACTATCATTTTAATTTAGTTTTTCAATGACGCGCATTGGATATACGGACGGATATGGTTGTTAAACCATTACAAGTCGAAGAGTAAACCTTCCCTCCGCTGCAAAGCCAACATCAAATTAAATGCTCATAAATAAACAGATCGATAAAAGTTGTAATAAAAATCTATTTTTTTTTGTCTTGTGCTACATTATACATACATAAGGTCTATCTAGGTCACTGTTATTTTCTGAAACTATATTTCATCCAAGTCTTTGTAAGTTCTCAGTGACTCAGCGGTAAGTGAGCGTGTTTGCAACGCTAAAAATCAGGTTTCTATACCCGTGGTGGGTAGAGCACAGATAGCCTTTTGTGTAGCTTTGTGCTCAACAACTAATCAACCATTTATAGCTCACATAATGCATCTACCTTGTTATTAAAAATATTAACAATTTTTTACTGGTTAGCTGAATCCGTGAGTTTCTTTATATTCTAAAAAACGTATTTTACCTTTCTATGAAAACATGAATATAATCAGATTGTCTACTTAAATCCATGTGCTTTGATTAATATATTTATAACCCCAATAAAGTATTTGACCTTTTATAAAAGTATTGATATATTAGGTCGTCAAGAAATTAATGTCGCTTTTTTTAGATGAAAAAGCCCGAACAAGTTATATATCAAAACAAAACATTTAATAAATGAAATAGTCTCCATTATTATCGATAATGCTTTTCCATCTTACAATCAGGTTATTAATGCCTTGATTAAAGAAATCACTTGGCTTTGAAACAAAAAACATGTCGATGTCCTCTTTAACACCTTACACATTTGAATACTCCCATTAATATGGTGTTGCAGCGAACGAAAAAGATGGTAATCTGTTGGTGCCATATCTGGAGAAGATGGTGGGTGGGTGGGGGAACTTCCCAACCGAACTCCATAATCTTATGTTGCGTCAAACGTGCCACATATGGACGTGCATTGTCGTGGAGAAGAACAACTTTCCGATTGACGAGTGAAGGGCGTTTCTGATAAAGAGCTTTATTTAAACGTTCCAGCTGCCGACTATAGATCTCTGCATTGACAGTTTGCTATGGATTGAGGAGTTCGAAA